TCGCGTAAAATAGGTCCCGGATGTACATCCATTTGCTTCAAAGATTACAACATAAGAATATACTCAATTAATAAAAATATAACAAGACAATTATATTTTAAAAAAATCATGAAGTAACCACTTATGCATACAATCTATGTCTAAATATTTATTTTACACAATAACAAAGTTTTAAAATTAAACAATATATTTGTTAATATTTTCTCACAATTCAAAATTATTGGAACAAATTTAACAAAAAAAATTAAAATACCTTCAAGCTTCAAAACGGAGTAGCTGACTCCGGTCAAGGTGGGGTCGTCCGGCGTCCTCCCTCCCTCGTCGTTTATCGCCCACCGTCGGCCCTCCCTCGTCGTTTAACGCCCAGCGCAGACCTTTTTTTTTGTTTTACAGATCCCAGATCGGTGTAAAAGAGGAGAGGGGCGGAGATCTAAATTGAAGAGACACGGAGTAGCGTACTCCGTCTCTGATTATGTCAGGCCAAACGGAGTTGGCTACTCCGTCTTGGTTTTATTCCACCCAAACGGATTTTGCTACTCCGTGTCATTAAATAATTGGGCTCAAACGGAGTAGGCTACTGCGTCTTTAAAAATAAAACAAAAGGAACGGAGTTGCCAACTCCGGGTTGCACTGCCAGGAAAAAGATGCCTGACATGCACTGCCAGGAATGGTGTATTAAAATGTTACATATATCGGGAGTTTACTCAAACTGGTAACACATTTTTCTTTTTGCACTTTTAGTTTTTGTAGTTTATTGTAAGAACATGTTTTTTTACTGAAATTTTTTAAATAGGTTCATGCATGCAACTTCATCACCTGGTAGAAATAAAAATACCCCTATTTCATCAGTGTATACATTTAATTTCATTTATTAAAAAAAATCATTTTTCTCAATGCTTTTAGAAATAGTTTGAAGTCAAAATGTAAACTTAATTAGGGAATAGAGGAAGTACTCCTTTATCACCAAAAAAGTCTTCTTATATTTTTTTATTTTCCTTTTTAGAAAAGAATATACTCCGTATAGTTTAAAATACTATTTTTAAACAAATTTCAACCACTTATTTTTTAGTCTTTGTTTTTTTTTAAATTTTTTGTGAAAAAAAATTGGTTTCGAACTTGGTGGATTTCTAATATTTTTGAAAATGTTGTTAATTTACATGTTATAAATGAAGTGAAAAATTAAGTCATACTAGAACTTCATAAATTTTGATACCAAAGTGTTTTAGAGGCATATACAGATATATCTCATTGTCTATAAATGTCTATAAAAACTTGATGTCAAATTATTAGTGTCAAACTTATTGGGATTATAGTTTTTTTTGAAAAATTGTTACTTTATTTTACAAAAAAAGTATGAACTTTATTTCAGAGCGCCTCATAGAATTAGCCAGACGAATACCAGATATGATATAAATTGATTTTAATCACAAATTAGTGGTAAAGTATAGAGTCTGTACCTTCTACTTGTAGCAGCCCGATATTTAGCATGATTATCTTGGAACGTATTTATCAGAAATTAAATTCGGATATTAAGTATTTTAACATTCCTTATCTTGGTAAAGACTTAATTAGTTTTATTTTAACGGAGTACTCCCTCCGTCCCAGTGTATTTGTCCACTTTCATTTTTACACACCATCCAATGCACTTCTTTAATCCATTTTATCTTGTAATTTGTATATTAAAAAATTATAGAAATTATATATTAATAATCTATATGTTAAGACAAATCAAACAAGATCACACATGACTATATTTAGGCTTACACATTGAGAGAATTTGATGAGTCAAAGTGCTTAGATGAACAGTTCTAAAAGTCAAAAGTGAACAAACAAAGCGGGAAGGGAGTACAAGTTTTGAAATGAGGTGAAAAAAATGGTTGCCACTTTGCCGTAGATAGAGGCTGACAAAATAATTGTGGAGTTCACACAGACACACAGTAGACCCACGAGCCATGCATCAATGATCATTAATTAGTTTTTAAGTTTTCTAATCACATATTACCGGTGAGAATCATACTTACAATATATAAAGTTCATACATTCAAATCAAAATTTTTATTCCATCCATCCTAAAAAGATTGTTACACAGAGTACAAAGTAAATTTAAATTTAAGTTTTTTTAAATTTACTTTATTTAAGATTGGTATAAAAATAAAAAAATAAACTTATATATTTAAAAACTACGTCAATAATTTTACAAGACAAGAGTGACATAAATTTTTTATTTTATCAAATAATCAATGAAAATGCACAAATAAATAAAATTCTCGTGATTTTTGAGTAACGAAGTATGTCATTCTTTTTTAGACGAAAAAAAATATTTAATTAATTACTAAGGAAATACTCCGTATAAAAAGAAGTTATAGCTACATTTTAGAATAAAATAAGTTTAGAAATATAGCTCACAATATCGGCCAAGACACTAGAATAAAATAAGTTTAGAACGTAACTTTTATATCTGCAAAATCCCGAGGAATGAAATATTAATATATATTCATTTTAAAACGTAACTTTGATATATTATACTTTTAGAGTAATGCTAAAGTCACAAACAAATAGTTCACTAAATTTAAAAATTTGTCATTTTGACAACTCATTCCAAAGAAGGTGTACTCACATAATAAAAAAAATATTTTAATTTAAAATATATAAAAGACAAATTTGTGAAGCTGGCAACTTGTTTATTCGCGACTCTAGAATTTTCGTCAGGCTCTGTTTAATAAATAGAATTCAAACTACGAAACTGAAATTCGAGATAACAATTTCAATTTTACTGTTTAGTAATACAAAAATAAATGGACTTGTTATTCTGTGGTGCCAAAAATGATTAGAGAATGGCCATGTTTGGTAAATGGCTGTTGAGGTATCATTTGGATGTTTTGACCATGAATGGCTTTTTTGACTTTTCAATCCGCCAAAAAAATTGTTTGGACGCTGGCTTTTGCATTTAGCTGTTGGCCACGAACTGTCGAAATTTGAACTGCCAACATGAGTAGCGTTTCTAATTGGCTGATTGCATATATTTAATTTTTTGCCCTTCTTGAGCCGTTCCCAAAAAAGAGATGCCCCCATCATGCCATTTTTTTACCAAAGCATTCTTTTTCTTTCTTTTTCTTATCATAGACATGTTTCTTCATTTCAATAATTTTTATGGTACACTACTCTTTTTTTAGTATCATACTAGTATTTTCACCCGTGCGATGCACGGGGTCGACGAAATTTTTGTCGATTCTGAATTTTTTAATGCAATATGTTTTCCGGATCAAGTAAATATATTTGTAACATGATTTTTTATCAGTGGACAAAAACACCAAGGTAGAATAAATAATATTTGAGGATTGAAAATGTACTCAAAAATGTCTTTTTTAATTCCAAACTTGTTGTCATGAAGAATAAGAAATTAAGTACTCCGTACTACTTTTCACCTCATGTAATAAAGGATAAGATAAATTCATTACCATTCAACAATCTCGAGCACGGGTGCCAATAGTACATTATCTTTAAAAAAAGAATATAATAATTTTTCATGTTCACCAATAAGTTCGGATAAGTGAAGTTCACTATATGCTTGAGGAATATCTTGTGTTAAGATTCAAGATCTTTAACTATTAGAGCACCAACTTTATGTATTGTGGAGATATAATAATTTTTTGAGTCTCTAGTTTTACTTGTCAACAACCTCAATGATACATTAGAAGTAGGCTCATTATATATTAAGTCTTACTTCTCAAGAGCCTCAATGATACATTATAAGTAGGTTCATTATCCATGAAGTCTTTAGTTCTTCTAAATATATGTGTTAAAACATTATGCTCATCTACCATATTTTTTAAATCTTTGACCAAACTTTTATCAGTAGTCAAAGAATTATTCTCCCTACTGTGCGAAACAAATAGAACATAGAACAATTTGTTTTTAATAGCATGTTAATAATGTGATGTGTATTATATTGTCAAACACATGTAAATAAGACTTTTATTAAAAGGGTGTACTCAATAAAGTATTCGAGATGCCTAAAATGAGTTATTTGTTTTCATATCTCGTTCTCTATACCATAAATATACAATTGCGTAAATTTTGGTCTTTCACCATATTGTGACATTAAACATGGTATGTGATGATGATGAATGTGTCCGCTGAGAGTACATTATTGCTCAACCATTATTTTGAGATGTATAAATATTTCCATTTATAAATGTTAATGAAAACATACAGTTGTATTTATTTAAATTTTTCATGGTAATGAGAACTCTTCACACCAAGACCACAAAATAAATTATAGAGCAAATCAGATGGTTTTCTTTAGAAGAGACAATAAAACATTTTCTTTTATGCAATAAATTGAAAACTTTAGATGTTTTGAATCTTTATTCAATTGATTTGTAATAAGCATCATAAAATAAATATTATATTTTTTATCTAAAAACTTTAAATATTTTTTTTTATTATCCACTAATATTTGTTACATTGATGTCGATGGTTCAATGAATAAATAAGAAAAAATATTTCTTACTTATATTATTTTGATATAGATGTCAAAATAATTAGCACATTTTATATTTTTTAAAAATTACATATAAAAGTAATTACATTTATAACAATTAATAGTATACCATAAATATTTCAATTAGGAACACCAATTAATATTTAATTTCTTACACATAAATACTCACTTATCAAGTCTTGATCATTTTACAAAGTTATAAATGGAAATGATAATTTTTGTTACATGTACATTTTTAAAAAGCTATACATGGAAAACAATAATTTTAAAATGGAAAATACTAATTTTAAAATGGAACATACTTTTTATTCGATTTAAAATTTTTTATATATACGGAATAAAATTAATGCTCTATTAAATAAGCATGCCCATAAAAATTCATTTCCTTTTATATATTTGTTTCTTTTTTTAAATAATTAGAAAATCTCTCCAATTAGTATTAATTCAAAGCAAAAAAATCAAATGTAATTTTGTTTAGTCCTACCAATCTTACCGTTCTTAAAGTAAATTTATTTGTTTTGATTATAGTTTTTCAATAAGTGTTTTTTTTTAAATTTCAAAATATACTATTTAATTTAAATATTTTTTAATAATGAATGAAAATATAAAAAATTTTAAACGCGATTATATGGAGAAATTTGTGTGTAACAAATATAAAATTTAATTTCTACATAATAAGTTTTTTGTTAACTATTTTTTAAACATTACTTGCTAACATGACATTCTGATATGTTAAAAAACTTGTTTAATAAGCACGCCACATGTCACAAATCTAGAAGCCCGACCCGTTTGAAATATTGAGAAAGTTGATTTTTATGACGTGGCTGATGAAGTGTCAAAAAAAGTTCCAGTCAGCACGCCAAATGTCGCAATTCTGAGAGTTCAACTCTCAAATATTATATATAAAGGATTTTAAGATTTTTATTTTAAAATGAAATGATTATAAATATTTATAGAAAATAAATAATGTTTAAATTCTAAGTGTTCAAAAATAACTTTCAAAAAAAAAATTATGTGTTTTTATATTTAAGAAATATCCTCTCTACTTTTGAGTATGGGTAAGAACTGCGAACAACACCCTGCCTTGATCCTACATTCGTGGCATCCTACTAGGTTGTTATTGTTATCAAAATTTAAAAATTTAAATGATTCAAAACAATAAGTTAATTAACACATCCTTTAAAACAATTAAGCAACATATTTGGAGAAATGTCTAAATATGTAATTTTCATTGCAAACAGCTGTTTATGAACAACTAAATTTACCAAACAATTTTTTCCTAACAGCCAATACAATTCGCTGGTCAAAACAACTAATTCAATCAGCCATTCAAAACAGCCAACACACACAGCCAACTGCCAACAGCTAACCGCTAACATCCAAACAAGGCCAATGAAGAATTCAATTCATCATAAATGAATTTAACAGAATTTTGACTCTCAATTTAATTTCAATTACTTGAATTAGGTTTAATCATAAAAATATTGAAGGGAGTGAATAGATATGACCCCTAATATACTCCGTACACTCTACCCCCCACTCTATACTGTCTCCGTAGCCCATCATCTTTTTCTCTCCTTTCATTCTCTCTTCCTATTTCCCCCCCAATCAGTTTCACACCCATTCATTCTTCTTCTTCTTCGCCAAATTCCTCTCTATCTCCTCCTCTGTTTTAATGGACTCAGTCCGACCCAGTCCAGCTCCCAACCGGAGCACCCTTCTTGCCCGGACCTTCCACAAGGTCCTCCATCGCAAGACCTCAACTTCCTCCTCTTCTTCTTCTTCCCCGAAACCCATGCCCAGCAATGCTTCCTTTTGCCTCCTCATTCCTCCGGAGAAGCTCAAGTGCTGCGAACCCCTCCACTTGGACAGAGACGAGATTCTTCAGGACTGCAGGGAGATCTCAAGAAACAAGGTGTAGAATTTGATAAGAGGGAAAAAATATTCTGTATATTGAATTGTTCTCCTAAGTACAAGGAGTTTCTCCTTTATTTATAGGAGAGGATAAAGACCAAAACACAAAAGGAATTCTATTCCTACAAGGAAACAAATCACTAAATATGAACAAGGAAACAAATCAAGAGCAATCCCACTTAGAATGGGATTTGCTCTCCTTCTTGCCGTGTGGTCCAAGGAGCACCGCCCAACACAAGGCGGCCATGGAGGCCTTCGTCGCCAAGCTCTTCGCCGCCATTTCCTCTCTGAAAGCCGCTTACGCCGAGCTCCAGATTTCGCAGTTCCCTTACAACAGTGGGGCTGTCCAGTCTGCAGATCTAGCCGTGGTGGGTGAGCTCAAGTCCATCTCCGAGCTCAAGCGCAGATTTCTCAAGAACCAGGTCGGTTCATCTTCCCCTCCTCATGTCTCCCTCATGATTTCCGAGATT